CACCTGCTGATAATTTTGGCTTACAGAATGACTTGCTAGCAACATTATAGCAAACTGGATGTGTCTGTACCTGTCAGCTCAGCACACATATCCTTTTTAATTGCATTTCCTTAGTAGTGAAGGGCAAAGGAAGATGTAGTGTCAGTAAACTGGTTGCCAGAGAACCATCCTTTTCTATTCTTCGTGTATTCGATTATTTTACAATTCAGTGAAATTTTTATGCAAGGTCCTTCTGACTCCAAAAGAGCACAAGTATGTCCCTTTCAGTTCTGAAGAATGTAAAAGACTGTGCTACCACCCTGTCCATCCAAACAACCTTCTATTACCCAGTCCTCTCAAAGAAAAAAAGCATGAAGATAGAGAAGGAATAACATACAGGGGGTTGATTTCAATTTGTTTGTTTGAAGTTCCGACTATTGAAGTGCAGTATTTGGACACCTCATATACTTCAATATAATTCAATAATTCCTCAATAATTCTTCAGTATAATTCAATAATTCTTCAATATTCTTGCAGATAGCTGCAAAAGAAGTAATGCAGAAATAGTAAGTAACTAGTCCAAGGTTACACAGTCCATGGCTAAAGTGTCTGCTAAGCTCAGCCTTAAAGCTTAAATATTCTCAAAACTAAACATATCTACTCTTAAGGGTGCAATCTTGAAAGTATGTTCAAGTATGATACATCTGGGAAATGCCCTCCAGAACACTTGCCCTAGCTAGGCCAGCACGTTAGGGCATGGTTTTCACAGCTTGCTCATGCCCATCCCATCATCCAATGTCTGCCTCTGAGGCAGCCGTGTAAAATGAGGTGAAGGAGGCAAAAGACATTACTCTTGTATGCACTCTGGAAACAATGCTTTCAAAGCAATGCAAATAGATCAAAGACGCCCAACTGGATTTCTTGAATTTTGTTTAATGCTTTTCACATTTTCCTAAGGCTACAGGTGCACTGGGTGAAAACCTCAAATTCTGGGCAACATTAAGGGCATCATGTTTTCAGTGAAATGAACAGAAATAAAACAGAAGGTTCCTACAGATAGCAATGTGGGAAGGAAAAGGGAATGAAAAACAAAGAAACTGAGACTGTGCGTTCCTTACAAGAATCATTTGGCAATATAGTTTTCATTTGCTATAGATATCACTAATTCATCTACAGTGTTGCTAGTAAAGAGCAACAGGAAACAGAAAAACCTTCTGGTTGGATTTTGGACACAGGTTAATTAAAAAAGCTTAGATTAATCAGTCGTACATCTATACAGACTGGCTATGCTATTTGCATAAAATGTCTCTGAGTAAATCTAGACTAGAGCTGGTCCCATTTTAATTCAAGTGAACTGGATATTAAATTAAAGACTGCATGTGCTGATTAAAGCAGTCTAAAAATGCTTGGTTTGGCATAGGCCAAGCTTTAGATCAAAGGCTGTCTGGAGATAGCACTAACAGCTGAGTTGGATGAGAGACAGCAGAGAAGTTTCTGTGGGGTGTGATACGAACTTGGAGCATTGTACATTTTCTAGCTTCAGGACAGAGCTGGATAAGTTTCACAACTGTGCACATGTAAGAGAAAGGAAGGGAGACTAACTGATGTTTTTCTGTGAGACATACACAGGAGTCTGGGCTGTGTGTGAAACATAGCACGTGACAACTATCATTGCCTGCAGATTGTGGGTGCAGTAGGGGAATGCAATGCTGAGAGCTGGCCCTTGTCAGTGAGCTAGTGATGAGTCATAAATCTTCAGGTTTTGCCAGCACTTTGGTGCAGCAGGGCTAAGATCCACCAGGCACCAAGGTTCAGTCAGCTTCAACAAGAGAATATCTGCTTAAATAACCTTTAAGGATTTGGGTATAAAATGGCATTACTGAAGTCGTTTGCCATTCCATCTGGAGAACTCTTCATATTCAGCCTGGAAAATACTGCTTATAAAGGTGGGATAAGTTAGAAGTCCAGGAATTTTGTGTATTTCTATAAAAAACAACAACAAGGATTACAATAAAGAAAACAGTAGCATTCAGTAAATGAGAACTTGTAGTCCTCCTTAAGAGACCATACTCAGGTAAAATTAGACTTTGTAGCTGTTCTAGTATTCAGACAGATAGATCACTTTTGTAGTTCCACATAAAAGAATGCAGATAAAAGCAATATTAACTATTGAATAAAAATCTGCTCTGGGTTTCAAATGTTCAAAAACTCTTCCTCCTGTAAATACTGTTTTTCTAGCTGAGACCTCAGTAAAAAAGAAAAGCAATCTCCATTTCTCAAAATTATGCTCATTTACAAAGCATATACAGAAACATGCTCTACAAAAATTGTCCTTGTCTTCTTATAAGCAGGGAGGTATTGAAAACCATAATAACAGCATTTGTAAGAGAAAGATCAATATGGCCTCTGGTACCTCAAAAAGGCAGAAAATGATTCTATTAAATTTCTACTGGTAGAAAATGCAATGGACAAAATACCTAAAACCTGTAGTAGTATCTCTCATACTGTGCCATTAAATAAATCACAAGGAAACCACCACAAAATTCTTTGTAAAAGATGTACTGGGGCCTGCTTCACCCTCTTCTCATTGAAAAGACTACTGTTCAAGATAACACTGTGGTTCAAGATGCCATTGATCTTCTCCAGCTCACATCTTAACAGAACACTTCAGTTATCAAAGACTTGGGGTAAAACTTGAGTTGTTTTTTTGTCTCAGGTGCCACTCTTTTAATACTGTGTTTGTAACTACTTTAGTTGCATTACAGGGAAAGCAATAAAAAAGGTCACAGAGTGCTAGGCACACTGATTTTGATTCCCATTTTAAATAAGTAAAAGCATAATGTAAGAGTGATCACAGCAGGTTAGACCAGAGGTCTGCCCACTTGAGTAGAGCAAAGAGGCCTTTATCTCACCCTGCTTTGTAGGACTGACATTGAGAGATACCTGAACGCTGTTTTCTCTCCCGTAAATTTTGACAATCTTTTGTTCTAGTGTCAAGGGATAATTAAATTTAAAAAAAAAAGAATAATAATAAAAATGAATAAATTAAAAAACAAACAAACAAACAAATCAGAAAGCATGACCAAAAGCAGATGCTTATGGAGCACTAAAAACAGGAAAGCCATATATCAAACTTCTTGCTTATTTGCTTCTCTGTCTGCCTTTAATAATTTTAGCCCATGAACTTACTTATTTGATTATGATTTTTATGTATTCAGTAACACCCAGAGGATTTATTTATTTTTAAGAGCTTCGGTCAGCCCTTCGAAAATTTTTGCATCTATCATGCCTTTTGGCAAGGAGTTTTACAAGTCCTCTTCCTCTTGTGAGAAGACACAAGAGACAGCCCTAGCTAGTGAGAAGTAATGGTAGCCCCTTGGCCATAAATACTGTCCTGTGTACAGTTGGTAACTCATAAGCACTTCAGAAAGAACTATTTTTGAAGAGTAATGGTGAAGTAGACATTGATGGGTACTTATAGAATGTAGACCCCCAGCATGCGATATTTCAGAGAGGAAACCATGCAGTGTCTGCTAACAAACTTTTAGGTCTGTTAAAGGGGGCCTGCAACCTGCACCAACCTATTGGGTTGCCATCAAGGAGTTGGAACCAATGACTGTCTCAGACCTTCCAAGGAATGGGTAGTTGTGTGAACGCACCACAAAAGAAGGACTCAGGAAGAGGAATACAGAGATAAGCTAGATTCCAAGCAGAAGAAAATACAGGTAGGTACTGCTGGATCAGGAAGAAGGCTAGAAAGTTGTACGTTTGTTTCATATCCTTTACATAAGCAATTAACCAACCTGTTCCTTAATTTCTGCAACATTTGGAATGACAGTGCAATTCAGAGAGGAAGGTAAACAAAGAAACATCTCCATTTTTTCCCCCCTTGAAGTCTGTGTAGAGGCCATTTTACTGCAAAAACTCTGACCCTTTTGGCAGCCAAACAGAAATCCATCTATCCAAGGCACCTGTAAGTGGCCTTGTCTTAGAGGAACTCTTAGTACATGAAGGCGAGGTAAGAGACTGGAATTTTACATACACCCCAAATAAAACACAGCAACTGGTATGCGATTTAGGAAATTTGTGCATTGGTGGTAATTAATACCAGTCATTAACTTGGGAACCCTAAGGTCTTTATTGTCTAAAGGCCCCCAGTGGACACTAATAAAGCCGTATGTTTACACAAGGAACAGAACAGTTATGGATAAAAGCAGAGGATAGATTTGACAACCAGTAATTTTAACTTATCACCTAGTAGTTTTATTTTTTGAAGGCTTTTACTTCCCACTGATTGTAGACTTCCAATTTTGTGTTGTCGTGAAATAAATTACAAAATCTATCTTCTTTTTCTATTGGCATGGTGCTTCATAGACAAAATGTCTAAAAAGCTTTTTATTATTATTATTATTTATTTTTACCAGAACAAGTTAAGTATTGCTGCCATGGCGATTCTAAGAAGGAATCACTTCCCAACAGCAGTCCTGAAAACTGGATGTAGATTCACAAAACTCTGAGTAACCAGAATGTTTGATTTGAGTCCTTCCTAACAGGAAGATTTTACTGTGTGTATGTAGGGCATGGGAGTGGAAGACCAGAACAGAGAAGTCACTTTGAAAAGCAGATCTTTAACCCTTTTCCTGAAAGCTAAAGAGCTGTCTGGTACAATAATCCATATGAAGGAGATCTGAAGGAGATTACTCCTGGCAGGGAGGTGAGCTTCATCCTCTCAGCAGGAGTGTGAAAGAGAAGACATTGTCATCCCAGAGGTGTACGCAAGGGTAGCACCACATTTGAAAGTCTGTCTGCTTCGACCATGACTTCCCCTATTTAGCAGTAAGGTACCCTAGGCTCTTGCATAGACCTAGCACTAACATATTTTATTCACAACCATATTTAGTGCCCTTTTGAGTTACCCTCTAAATAGGCACTCAAGACCAAGCGATCTAGTTTGCTGACAGTGTACATCCTTAATCATAACTACTGTATGAATGCAAAGATATAACTTACATAAGCCACTGTGAAAGTTAAAAATTTTTATTTCAATATTCAATTAATTATCTCCCATGTATCACTCACAACAAAAGGACATTGATGATGTGGGATAATTAGAGAAGTAAAAGCCCATCTTATATAGAGCAGATGGCTTGAGAAGGAAGCCTGGGGACTGGAACTAAACTGACCTCTTACTGGGTGCTGGGACATGGAGATGTAGGCAGTCACTTTACACTGCTCTGCTCCCTGCCAGGCAATGCACTCAAGAACTGTCACATCTTAGTTGGTGACATTAATTTAAACTGTTTTACAATGATCCATGTGCTATAAATTATAATATATTATTTATAATACTTTAATCACCTAAAGTTCAGCACATATTAATTAATGCCTATTTTAATTAGATGTACATCAGACAGAGAGAGAAGATAAAACTGTGCAGTGTTATTAGCATTTACACTCCAGCACCATAATTAAATCCAGAATATAGAATGTAATACACTTAAGGACTTAAAGCAGTGGAAGGTTGGTCATCACCATGGCAGCCTCCCACTCCTATTCCTTCTTTTTTCCTTCACGTTGCTCCTTTTTCCTCCCTATGTCTTCTTGTGAATGACAGTTTCCATAAAGGAAAATAGGAAATATCTCTGCTCTTCATGAGCAAAGCTTAGCTTTTCTCCTGCAGTAATAGTGTTGTCTTCAGCAGAATTATTCTGCACTCTATTGTACCTGAAAGAATATATTATTATTCTAAGGAGAAATGCTTTTGTGAATGTACTTTTGCATGCAATTCTTTTTTCTCTTTCTGGCCAAGGCAGATCTGCCTGCAGGCCTAGAATTTCCTACTTCGCTGCCTTCAAGCATTATTTCAGTACCCCCAAAGATACTTAATTTGAAATTTTGCAGCTGCTGGGTACAGGAAGGAAAAGAAATTGATTTCACATATTTATTTTCAAGCTCTTAACAATAGATTACCAACAAGAAAGCTGGAGTTTCCAGCAGGAGCCAGTGTGCTAAGTCATACAGCCAGTCAAGGGCAAAGTGCAGCAACAGCACTCAGAAGTTCCAGTTTCCAGTGCTTCTTGTCTGCTGAATGAGCACATTAGGAAACTCCAATCCTTGCCATTCAAGGATCTTCTTATACACGTTTCATACAATAAAAAAAAATAAAAATAAACCAGACAAAACCCAACAGACTGAAGTGCTGATCCTAAGGCTCTGGAAGTCATAAGCAGTTTTCCTATTGACTTCATGGTGTTTAGGATTGGTCCTTAGAAGCCTAACTGTGATATTAAAAATTGCTAGGTTAGTAGAAGTACTTGTGTATAGCAGTAGTTTTGAGCATTTTTTCTTGCAGCTCCTTACTCACAGGGTTCATTTTCTTAGTAAGGTTCTACAGGTGTCTCTGGAACAGAGGTAAGTCTATCAGAGGGCTGTGGAGTGCTCACTGAAATCCTCTGCAAATAGAAAGAAAGGAACATTTCTATTAAAAAAATAAAAATTAAAAAAAGCTTGCCAGTATCTATACAGAGGAGTGTTCTGTTCTGTTTTTTTTTCTTTCTTATTCTATGCTAATTACCAAGTTCTTTTAACTGTAAACTGCAATGCAGTTTCCTCAATTTCACTTTCCCTGCCCAGCTCTGTAAAATTTCTCCAAATAAATAATAAAGTTGAATAGTTAAGCTTGCAGAAATTGCTACTACTTTATCAATGCCTGAGCCAACAAAAGCATTTTTCATGCACCTACAGAAATGAGAAGGAATTGAATAGCTTTTAAGAAATATGCTACATTTTAATATGTCCTGGTGACATGTAGCAGCATATCTGAATGGAGTGGAGGCAGAAGAATGAGTGTCATCAGTGAAGCCCCCTGCACCATCTGAGCTCAGAACACTCCGTCTTACCAGGAAATTTTGTGCATTCATGCTTCTTCGTAATGAATTTACTGATAGTAGAATAAACAACAACGTCTCGCTCCTGTGAAAGACTTGGGAGCCAATACATTTTGCCTCAACTCCTAAAACTTCAATTTAGTAATATCTAAAAAAAAAAAACAAACAAACAAACAAAAAAAAACAACAAACAAACGTAATATGTTAATGTTTCAGTACCTTCCACCCTTAAATGTAATATTTTACTTTATTTCTACTTATTTGCATTTTGTATTATTTTGCTTTACTGGATTATATTTTGTAATCTAGCTCATTTTGTGATATATTTAGGCTTTTATTAATGATTATTAAATTTGATACATTTTGTAAACTCAGCTGCACATTTAGTGGGCTATGAGGTTTCCTCCATTAATCAGCATCAAGGTACGCCTAAATTACAGAATCACAGAATCACAGAATCACCCGGGTTGGAAGGGACCCCAAGGATCATGTAGTTCCAACCCCCCTGCCTAGCAGGGCCACCAAACATACACATTTAGATCAGGTTGCCCAGGACCCCGTCCAACCTGGCCTTAAACACGTCCAAGGACGGGGCATCCACAACCTCCCTGGGCAGCCCGTTCCAGGGCCTAACCACTCTCCTAGTAAAGAACTTCCCCCTAACATCCAACCTAAATCTTCCCTCCTTCAACTTAAAACCATTTCCCCTAGTCCTGCTGTTATCAGCCCTTTTGAAGAGTTTACTCCCCTCCTGGGTGTAGGTTCCCTTCAGGTATTGATAGGCTGCAATGAGGTCACCCCGCAGCCTTCTCTTCTCCAGGCTGAACAAGCCCAACTCCCTCAGCCTGTCCTCATAGGGGAGGTGCTCCAGCCCCCTGATCATCTTAGTTGCCCTCCTCTGGACCCTTTCCAAAATCTCAATGTCTTTCTTGTACTGAGGGCTCCACACCTGGACACAGTATTCCAGATGGGGCCTCACAAGAGCCGAGTAGAGAGGGACAATCACCTCCCTGTCCCTACTGGCCACCCCTCTCCTGATGGAGCCCAGGATCCCATTTGCCTTTCGAGCTGCCGAAATTAAACTAAGGCAGCAAGTGAGTCTAGACTGTTGTAACCTTCCTTGAAGTTTTGAAGGAGCTCATTAACATTGCTCTGCAGAGAATCTATAGTTTTATAATGGAGCTAGTATGTGGTACTATTATGATACTTTCTTCCCAAAAATCCCAGTGCCTTGCAACTAATTGACTTTCAATGCCCTGTTATTCTCACTGGTAGTTTTCAAGTTGCCTCTTCACAATTCATGATTTTCTATTCAAACCTATAAAGTTACATGAGGCAACCCTTATATTTTGTATATTTAATAGAAGGATCAGGAAGAAAAGAGGAAAACAAAAGGCTAAGGTATCATTACTCTTGTTCATGTATGTGAATGCTTTACTCCATAACTATCTCATTGAGCTCACAACAGAAGGTACTGGTGTTAGCTTGTCACAATTTAGATTTGTATGGATAGAACCAGTATATTCATGAACTCTTGGTGTTGTGAGGAGACTTGTTGAAAACAGCAAAATGAACAAAAGTTTAAGAAAACTGTTTAAAAGGAAAAAATACACAGGTACGTTAGCATTTCAGTAGCTGAACCCTAGCTGAAGAGTCAGCCTGAGACAAAAGCTTCTGACAGATCTCCCTGAATTTGGAAGGATGTAAAACTGGACTGGGTCCTGAGGACATCTTTTAGTAGAGTTTTCACTTTACTGGATATGGTGGCTACAGCCAAACCCCAGCAAAGTCTCACTTTTTTTTTTTTTTTTTGCTCAGCTTTGCTTTCTAATAAATGCATTTCCATGCTTGAATTCTGAAAGTCAGTGAAGATTTTAAAGAGAAAACAGAAAATGAACAGTTTGGTCCCTCCGTAGAACACTTGCAGAAATTGTTGGATGCCTAACTATAAACACTGAAGTCAAAAAAGAGCAGGAGAATGGGCATAGAGACAGACACTGCAGATTAACTTTGCACCAAAAAAACAACTGTAATTGTAGAAACACATAGTTAAGAAATCCTTAACTTCCCTCCTCTTTTTAACCGTCAAGGAACTGACTTTTTTAGCCATGAATCCAAATGCCATGGGGTCCCTTAACTTCAATGCAACATGCGTTGGCTGTTCTTAGAGCCCTATTTTTTTAAAATACAATTATTAACTATTAAATATTTTATCACTTAGTACACTCCATCCTTGCATGAATGCTAAGCTGCAAAACGCTGGGCCTGTCTCTCTGTGTTTGTGCCTTTGGGTGGCAGAGGCAGAAGAGGAAACCAGATGGAACAAGGCAGATGGGTATTCTGCTGCTGCAAAAAATCTCTGGAGCTGTAAAGGTAGCATAGTCCAGCTTCTGAAATTTGTACCTCAGGCAAAATGATTAACTAGAATAAGCATAAAATCAGAAAAACAAACAAACAACTGAAACTCCCTGCTGTAATGTGAGAAAAATAACTTCCTGCAATAAAATGAGAAAGTGATAGAAAGAGACAACTAGTACTTTGATTTTGTTTTGAATATCTTGTGGTAACAAGCAGTGATCATGATTTCAATGGAGAGGGATTCATTCCTGAAAACTGTCCTGCTTTTTCAAATATAACTGATGATCTAATAAAAGATAATCTCTCCCCTAAAACCTTGCCTCTCCTTTTAATCCATTCTGAATTGGAGAACTACTGCCACTTCATTTTTCATTCAGAGATTTTAAATAGCTTCACAAAGAAGTTTACAGATGTCACTGCAATCCTTGATGTAAAAACTATAATGGCCTGTATCCTCAGAAAGCCAAACATTCATTGATACTTTGATGCTTCACCATCCCTATTCTGACTTGGATACTGATGTGTTACTATATATTGCATGAGGACAATTAGGTGCCTCAGAATGTGACATATGGAAGAGCAGTGTGCTAATGCTGGCCAAGTGGTGGTGCTGGAGACAGAAGTGACTTTTTTCTCCCCCTATCCCCTAGGACAGCTACTATTCTGAGCTGCTGCTTCCCTTGAAATTCATAGTTACAAATGCTCTTCCTGAAGATGGACACTTAAGCCATTCCTTTCTCACAAAATACAGACAAGATCCTCTCCAACATACTTGGAACTCTCACTTGAGATCTGGGCTTCCAATCCTTCAAAAGTCTGAAGGTATTTGACACTACACCCCCACTCCTTCGTGCAGTTCATTCATTCACACACTTCCTTTCTCTCTTCATCTCTCTTCAATCCAATGAGCGTTTAATCACTTCACAGTTAAAGATGTTCCAATTTCTAAGGGAAATAAAGCCTAAACTTTCTGACCCATAACCTCTTCTCAAAATTTACTCTATAACTTGGTCCTTAAGCTGCTCTTGTGCGAGGTAGAAAATGCAAGCAAGCTCATATCTACTTAGAGGTGGGATTTGAAAAAGTTTGTCCCTACTGGACAAACGCCTTTAGGTCAAAAAGGGTGTCAACACCACGCTCAAAGAATGTCTTTTATGTTGTATCCTGCAGATGAGGCATTCATTTCTAAGTCTGAAATCCTAATACGCCTGAAGTGCAAGACATTCGGCGCTTGTAGAGGACCAAGACTTCACAGAATCACAGAATTGTAGGGGCTGGAAGGGACCTCCAGAGATCATTGAGTCCAACCCCCTTAGAAGAAGACTTAAAGAACACATCAATGTCCTTAAAATTAGAAGCTTAAGCTACATCTGATGTTCATTTTAGAGACAAATTGTTCTGTGTCTACATGACTATAAAGACATACATCTTCACCTACAGCACATCCAAGTAACTTCAGCTTCAGAATCTAGAAGACAGAGCAGTTGGCTTTAACAGAGGAGAAATCTAGGAGATAAATTTGGGATCTGTAAATTAAAAGCTAAATTTTTTTTATAAGATCCTGAACACTGCAGGTATGTGGAGAACCTGGTGATGGCATGAAGGTGTACTAGGAGACTGCAAATGAGGGCTACAGATCTGTTTAATTGCAATCTTTCCAACTTGTCTCAGCTGAAATTAATTCTTTCATGTGGCAGCTTCACATATGTATGTTACCTGTGCAGTTGAGCACAATTTGGGTATGAATTTGCCTGAATTCATTCTTATTCAATAGCAAGCACAGACCCTGTGAACACTATAAATTTTACTATGAACTTCACACAAATATCTCTCTATAAGTAATTTTATACCCATATAGGAAGAGGCTTTTAACATTCCATGCTGCACTGCTACTGAAATCTCATGGGTGTATGAGATAGACACATTTTATGACCTCTTAACTAATTATTGTGCCATTGCTACCTGTCATACTTTCTATATTTGCTGACCCCATACTATACTTACATACCTCTGTTCACATGATTTCAGAACGAATATGACTTTCCTCTCATATCCATTTTCATCCAACTCTGATCTGTCCCTTTTTTGAAATTCTGAGCTGGTTTTCATGAAAATCTAAAATCAAAGTTCTTATTCTCTTTAATGCTCCGGGATATGGCCTTATCTCATGCTATTATTAAAAATGGAAAGCTCTTTTATATAGGTATATTTTTGACCTCTGCTCTTCCCTATTTGGAACAAAATCTGCAGCATTGTGGCCAAGAATAGAAGCAGCATTGCTCAGCTCCCAGTTCTATACTTTAACCACTAGATGATGCTTCCTGTGAGTACATAAAATTTCATTTAAATGCAAAACTCACTACGTTTGCTTCTGCTTGTGATGCATTCAAATTTTTTTTTTATTATGTCCTGCCTGTCCTTGACTTCCTTTGTCCTCCCTGATCTTAGCAGATTTTCAAGGTCCAATACATGAGTAAAGGAGGGTTTACACTACTACTTGTCACTTAGCTTGTATGAGAAAGGTTCCCATCAAACAGCTGGGAATGTTATTGTACCACAGTCAGCCCTGTTCAAACAAATGGCTTGCATGACTCTGCGTGAAGAAAACTTTTCGTAATGCAGATATTATAGGAAAGAAACAGAAACCTTCTGAGGATATTATCACCAGTCAGGTACTTATATTACCCAAGGGTTTAACATTTTCAATACGCAATTACATGTCCAAAAATCATTTTTTTGCAGCCACAAGGATAAACCAGGATGCATTCCACTTAACCCAAGGGCATTATATTCGTATAAAATAATATAAAGTCAGAGACAATCCCAGTCAATTGCCATTAAAGTGAAATTAAAACAAACACTGTGGTTCTGTAGATAAAGTTAACAGGCAAGCAGATAAAGAGATGTTGTTGGTATATTGTAGTCTGCCAAGAACTTAAGACTACCAAGAAATTAATAAATAGGAGCAAATAAGAGAATAAAGAAAAGAGGCTGCATTGAACATCAGTCTCATGCAAAAGCTTTTAGTACTAGAAGTATGATTTGTGACTGTGTGTCATGAGATCATTTTCTGAGGGCAGGAGGAGGATAAAATAAACATGCTATTTTGTACAAAAGCTTGGATTCTATTTAAAAAGTCTTGTCACCAGAAATGAGGAGGAGTGTCTGAGTAAAAGCAACCATAAAAACGGCCATTATCTTCTGGAAAAAAAAAAAAGAAATTGAGATTTGGGGCACAACATATTTGATCAGCAGTACGATCATATGTTCATGTCATTTTGATCAAGAATAACAAGAATAGACCACTAAGCTCCAAATTTGCATAGCATTTTAGTGCACAGCTTTCCACTGCATTGGTAAAAAGATACACTGAGTTAAGAACTGGCTGCATTTAGAGACAGTCAAAAAGGAAATTTCTGTTCTGCAGAAAATCCTGACCCTTCAGAATTTGATTATGCTCCATATCAGAAAGAATTCCATTACTTCTGAATTTCCTATTAAACAAATGTCTTGAAAACAGATTCAGAAATCTAAAACAAAAGCATTCTGATAATGATAAGTCAATTAATTTTTATATGATTGATTGGCTTTAGTTTGATGTAGTAAGAAGCTTTATATGAATTGTATCTAAATGTTATTGAAGCCACTTTAGATGACACTTCATATCAATGTAGTAATATAGTTATCATTAATATATAATGTAAACGTAGACAGGACAAAATATAGAGCCGGCATTACTAAACCAGATCACTCTTACAAAACTGAAGTAATTGTTTCTGACAGTTCTCCGTGGCTGCTTGCACCACATCTGCTACAAAACCTTAAAATACAGACTATCTGTATTTTACAGGTAGTAAATATTGTATACTATTCACTGGAAAAACATAAACCCAAAACAATTTCCTTCCCCTTCTGCAAAACTGTTCCACTGAAAAATGTGATCAGTTTGGCCTCACCAGGAGGAGTGTGAGTTTTAGAACTGACAACAGTGGAGTTAAGATTTTTCCAACAGACTTCAGAAGGACTACTCATGTACCTGAATACATGCAAACAACAACATCTGTATTGAGCTGGAACCTTAACAACAAAGCTTCAAGGAAACTGACATTGTCTCAGCCTCACTTGACAGTACAGAGAGCAAGATACCCAAACATACTGCACAGACATTCAGAAGAAGCAAAAACAATTTCCAGCCACATTCATCTTCCTTGAATTTTCATCATTTGAAATAACAGTAAAAAATAGATTCTTTCAAAATAAGTATGACCGGTCCACCAATTTTAAAGCATCTTCAACAAAAAGGAAGTGACATTTATTTTTACCATACATTTAAAAAAATCATACTGTTATTGCAAGTGGTGCATACCTAAAATCTGCATGATTATAAATAACATATTAATTTCTGACACTAAAGAGAGATTGTTCTCAACAGTTGATGTAATAAAACTAAACTACCCAGTCATGTTAACAAAAGAGAGTCCACCAAATGTGGGCAGATATGCCTCAGGCACCATCTATTACGTGCACATCTGCCCACAGGGCAGAATCCTATCATCTGGTGTTATCAAGAGGCTAAATGTATTTCTCAGGAAAAAAGTACAAACACTCCCAACAAATCATGGTGCTAAATATGTTTCCCTGTCAGCAAGGCATTGCCTTTTACTAAGGTTATACCCAAGAGATAACTTTCTTTTATTTTCTGAATTGAAGGGAAAAAGTAAGCTCTCCTTTCCTGACTAACCCCTTCAGCATGTGCTTCACTACAGATTTGAAAAAGCTGTGTGGTACCTACTTGTCACAAAATAGGCAGGGGTTTCACTGCCCACGTCTGGGCTTCTTTGCCCATCTACACTGCCCTCCACTTTTCTGCTGGAACTTGGGAGGCTAAAATTCTTTTAGATGGCCACCAGCCTGGATATAAGCATGGAGCTAAAGATCCTTACAGCATTTTGGGCCAGTGTAGACTGAAGTGGCATCCCCACTTCTGCATATCATGAAAGAATAAGTCATCCCTATCTACCTCCAAGACTACAACTGCAAAGTAAAAGGCATCTTACTTTAAAAAAAAAAAAAAAAAAATAGAGAAGCATATTTAAGAAAGAGCAGGATATAACATGTCAAGTATAAAACATTCAGCAGAAATGACTTCAAATGACACTGAAATTTTCAGAATGATCACTTAGAAGCTGCTTTGTTTTCCTTAATTGAGGATTTATTTTCGGTACGTAGACTTGGTAATTTTGCTATCAGTAGGTGGAATGTACTCTCTAATCTCAACTTTATGCAATCGTTAGCCAGAGCTTTGCAACTACCTTTAAACAGATCACTGTATTTCATATTGCAGCATAACCTTGCTTAGTCTCTAAAATAAATTTACAAAGGGAGTGGAATACTCTGGGAATTGCTAATACAATAGGGAGAGGTTTTTTTTTTTTTTTTTTTTTTTTTTTTTTTTTAAATCTTGATGTGATTATCCAAAACCAACTTAAATTTGTTACTTTAAGTAGCCTGGAACACCAAATGGAACTGGAGCACTACTTCCCAGGTACAGAAATACAGTAGGAGACCACATTGAAAAGCCCCATCATAAAGCAGACTGTCCAAGTAGCCAGCGCATACAAGAAAATCATTGTCAGCCCTTTTATGGCTGATCCATGAGAGACTCACTCATGCTCAGAGAGCAAATACATAGTAAAAATGGAAAATGAGCACAGACACCTCAAGTACCAATGCTTCCACTCATTCACTGAAGTGTTATTCTAAGGACCAAATGTCCATGTTGATAGATGTGTTGTACCTTTATGACAATAAAGCAACTCCACTGAAGGTCTCTAATCTCCATTTGGTACTAGTGAATATTGTTAGTGAACTTGCTGCATTTTTAAATGTACCAATATCGATTAAATACCTAGCTCTACGAACACAAATTTTAGCATGTGTTTACTAATTATCCCTGCATCAGCAAAAGCGAATTAGGCATTTAACAGTGATGAGAGTTAATGGCCTGACATAAAGTACAAAAGTTTCACTTGAAGAGTGGACAATCCATAGTCACAGTACCACACAAAATTAGAGTAAGTGCAAGGGCAATTCCAGACCAGTTAAGGTTCCATAAACATGCATCATTTGTTGGCTCCTGCTGGTTTTCATCAAGACAGAACGAAATAATTAAGCACATGATTCTGCACCCCATTTTCTGAAACCGCCCCAGCTCCCCCCCTTTAACTTACTCATTTTTATTTATTTATTTTAAAGGAGTCTCCCTGGAGGTCTCCCAAGGTCTGAATCTGTCTCTGCATTTAATCACTTTTGGTGTCTTTCCTTCTTCTTTGCAGCAATTTTGCCTGAGCACTCCTGGGACCGGTGTTGCATTACAAATTCATCAATGATTTGCTGCTTACTCTACATTATCCCGCAAGTGCTGAGGCAAACACTTCTTTGCCAGGATCAAATGATGTTCTATATTCGCCTGCAGTTTAAAATCTTGTTAATGTTGACACTTCTGATGAAAACTCTGCAGTGAAGCCAGAAGGAGTGAAACCTGAAGGCTTTGGTGACTGCCACATAAATGGGTACCCAGCACATAAAGTTTTTCCATGCCCTCTATATGGCCACGGGGGCATCACCAACTTAGGCAGCAGTTTTCCCAGAAACAATCAGAAACAGAACCTAACATCTGTGGGTAACGTTGCTGATTGACGATAGGGTGACTATTTGCAACCCAATATTGCTAAATCAATGTGCTTGAGAAAGAACTTTGTTCTAAAGTCAATTAACTTTAATTGAAAGTCTCCAAATTACTTCATTGAACTTTGGATCGAGCTCAATAAGAACTAATTAGGTCTCTACTCCAAAGCCTAGTTGTTGGAATTATCAATGGATTTTTGTTTGTTTGCTTTTGATATTGGATGAGGGGTTCTTTTTTTTGAATGATGAAAAGTGACTGACATTGATTTAAAAGTTGCAAATACAGACGCAACAAGTAAAAAAATTTAATGTCAGGTAATAAGACTAGTAGAAAAATTTTACACACTCTGCAAATGTCCACTTCATAGAGATGAGAAAAATACAAGTTACAGATACTGACAACTGCAATTAATCCAAAGCCTTACCCAGCCTTACATATGTTTAACATGCCTATGCTAAAATTCTGTTTTTGCCAGCAAGATCTAGGACTGGAGTTGGACCTTCCAGAACTCACCTCATTCTTATTTTCTATAGCTTCTGACACAGAAAATCATGCATCTTAAATACTTACTATAATAGAGGAGATACTTGAAGAAAGTTGGTGATACAAATTCCTTATGTAGGAGAGAAATCACAGTAAATGGCTGAGTGGCCTTGGCACTTCCTGAAATTTATTTATTCTGGCAGCAGATCACCACCTGCAAGTCAGATTAAGAAATGTTCAAAATCTGTTAATCCTGAATTATATTAAAGTGAATTACATGTCATTTTTTTTTCCTGATGATTTTCCTCCTATTTTTTCTCCCTTAAAAATTGTTCCAAGTAGACTACGATTTTTCTTTTCCTTTGGACTTTCTCCATTACTCTGAATAAATTGCCAAATCATCTCTGCATATAATTCTTGGCCAGTAGATTTTTATTTTTATTTTTTTTAAAAAAATGAAGTCTTCCTGCAAATTGCAAGAAATATTTAAAGTTCAAAGTATAATAAATGCAATAGACTCAAATTGTATTTATAGCATACAAACAGAAAATAGATAATATCATTCTTCCCCTGAATTGGTAGGACAAAAAAAACTGGCTTAACTTGGACCAGAGACTTAAAAAATGCTTAAAATCTGTCTTCAGACACTAGGGCCCAATTCTTTCTGACATTAAAAAATATCTAGTCATATTCTGACAGAACTTAGTTTGCATCCTTGCTCTTGAGCTCTGAGAAGCAAGTTATAAGTGAAGGGGATAGCCCATCTTTGTGGCGTAACAGGGAGGGGAATGAGAGGAAAGACATGACTCACACACTCAGTTGGCGCATACAAAGGAAGAGAGAGAAAAGACCTCCCTGACAGGAAATAATGACCCTGAAATACAGGGGGATAGTTCCCCTCTTCTCTACCTCCTGCTCCCTTTGCCCACCAGAAGAATAAGCAATTCTCATGTTTGAGCTCAGGTGAATTCTAGCACCATGGTTTCCTATGTGTTGTGCCTACCTGCCTCTTTGAAAGAAGTTGTGCACTGAAACTGTTCCATGCCTACTCTGAATCACAGGTCACAGAATGGCTTGGGTTGGAAGGGACCTCAAAGATCATGAAGCTCCAGGCCGCCTGCCACATGCAGGACCACCAACCTCCACATTTAATATTAGACCAGGCTGCCCAGGGCCCCATCCAATCTGGCCTTGAACACCTCCAGGGACAGGGCACCTACAACCTCTCTGGGCACCCTGTTCCAACATCCCACCACTCTCTCTGTAAAGAATTAGGTCACCATCTTAAAGCAGATGAAATATAAAGGCATGATGGGATGCATCTGGCCATCTCCATGGTTTAAGCACTAGCTTCTGGCAAAGTGCTTAGATAGATTCATGATGGGTGTAGGGCACACTCATCCTTTACTCTCTGTGTGGATACAAACAAATGTCAAAGTGATTGGGTCTGAAGCATTAGTGTACAGTGCTGGCTTGTAGTTAACAGCCTCTTGCAGGTCTGTGTGTTAACTGCAGGGCTATGGTGTACCCTGAACCAATGTAAGATTAGGAAGCAGTGACACCGTTGAGCTAAAGCCAATGAAAATGTGGGTGAATAGCCTATCTGAAAATCAGCCTCTTAATGTCTTACAGTTACACTGAATAATAGTTATTCAGATTTCTAATTACTGTAAGAGTGCAGGTTAATAAAAATAAAAAAATAGAAGAGCTTACATGCATTAAGTACCTGTGTGCCAGCCCACACTTAATGGCTCAGTTATGACATGTAAGTATCTTAGCAACATATGTTAAAAATAACAACAACAGAACTGGCATTAATTTATGGCCAGTCAATCAGAATGATCCATAATATGGGAGTTTTTAACAAGCTGCTGTCCAACAGTTTTGACATGTTTTAAAACAAGCCCTGGAGAGGCTTAGACTTCTTCTAAGCTTAATGACTCTCCAAAGAGGAGGCGGCATAAAGATTTAGCAGATCGGCAGACATGAATGCACAGACCTTTGCAGCCAGACTGGAAATGACAAGCAATTTTTTAAACAGAGAAGCTTTATTTTTATATTATTGTATGCCGATTAAGTGAAGTCAGAGCATTGATTAAGCAATCTAAACTGAGAATATTCTATCCAAATTGGAGAGCATTCAGACATGCTGCTGGTTTCAAGGCTTTGAAATACAACTTCTTGTTTGATGCTTGAAGATACCTATCCTAGAGCCTCAGACAGTAATTGATGTCAAGCTGACACTGTAGTTCACAGATTTCAGTTGCACAGGCCATGCCACATACACAACTCGTGTGTAAAAAATGCTTTGTCTGAAATGCTATCAACTGGGAAAAAGGATTAATAAAGCTGTCAACAAAAAACTTCTCCATACAAACACAGTATTGGTTAAGCATACCAACAGCTCCAGTACAGTCTGAGCACCCATTACCCCCCTCTTCATCCTACCAGATGAAGTCACTTCTACACAAACCTCAGACTAAGCCTTTCACACACATTGCTAGGTTTATGCACAGATAAAATGCTAAGCTAATTTAATGGAAGTCACTGTATTTATACAGAAGTAAATGAGATCTATGTGTCTAGAAATAATTAAAAATGTTTCTGATATTTTTTTTTTTCCTTAGCAGAGCAGAATTTTCCAGGGGAGCTCTGAATACAAATTTTTGGCCCTCACAGATATTAAAGTTTGAGTGATTCATATTCTCATTCCCCTGAGTAGCTACATTATTAGACTGTATTTTCCTCAATTCATCAGAGATGAGGTTATGTCCATAGCCATAAAGCTGAGATAGTGGCAGGTCACAGGAGATTAAGTCCAGATAGGAAAACAGGCCCCTGACTACAACAGGAGCCAGAAGCATCTCAGTAGGCATTATGGAGCATTTTGGAATTAAAAAGAATGCAATTTCATGGTTAAATATTTGGGTTTAGATGGCGTTTTTTGTTTCTTATTAAAAATAAATCTGTGAAAAGAACATCTTTCACTACAAATCCTCTAATGCGCCAATAGAAAGCTGCTGCAATGAAAAATTTTCACCTTATTCAGGTCATTTTGGATGGACTGCTGAGTAAATAGCTACGCCATGTTATTTGTACCACAGCTCCTTCTCCCCAGCTAAGAAAAGTCAACGTATGCATAAGCTGAAAATATGCATTATTTGTAAGAATTAAACACTGAGAAAAATAATACAGTTCTTCAACTAATGATCTGTATACTTCACGTTTTTGAAAATTAAGCCAGGTAGGTTTATATCTCTGGATTTTTAATCAATACCCATCACCCTAACAGGCTATTAACAGAGAGTATGCACCTGATGTGGTTGAATTGTTTTCCTGAAAAGCTCCATGGTACGAGTACATGCCTCACTGAGCAGACACTGTGAGCGAGACTGCACCTCAAATGCTGTGTTGAGTTTGGCCTCTCCCTCAAAGGATTGTGCACAGAGAAGAATAATAAGCTAGCAAAGGGACTGGAAAATAATACTAATGAGGGAACTGAGGTTGTTTAGTTAGGAGAAGAATGAAGGAAGGCCTTATTGCTCCCCACAACATGAAACGAAGTTGCAACAAGAAGGGCACTGTTCTCTTTTTCTCAGGTGATAAGTGAAAGGAGACAAGGTAGCAGTCACAAACTGTGCCACAAGAGGTTTAGATTGGATGCTAGGCTGAATTTCTGTACAGAAAGAGTGGTCAAGCATTGGCTTGGACTGCTCAGGGAGGTGGTGAAGCCCCCATTCCAGGAGGGATGTGTGGATGCAGCACTAGGGACAGGTTCTAGTGATATGTTGAAGCTAGAAATATTATCATGGTGAAAACAGGAAAAGAAACAAACATGAAAAGAATGCTCACCTGTATCCAAAGACCTAGATTTGCAAGAAAGATTCCACAGAGAAGAAATCTCCAGAAAGAGATCCTTCCCTAGTGGCAGTCAGCCCTTAAATGGGGTCTAGGAGGTCACACAGCTGAATTGCCTTCACCTGTGCTCCCACAACTGACTCAGTCCTTTGCTCAGGTGATCAATCAGTGGTTCAGGCTGTGACTCAACAGTTCCCATACAGTGATGGGACTCAGAGTGTCAGGCTGTTGGTTGAACTTGGTGATCTTGAAAGTCTTTCAATCTAGACAATTCTTTGACTTCCAGTGGTAATTTTTTTTTTTTTTTTTTTTTTTCTCCCTGTGGAGATGAATTACTGAGTGCTACAGCAGAACCAGTATTTGACAACTATGTAGATACTTCTGGCCTAAATCTTGAAGAAAAGTTCTTCAAAACCCTTAATTACAACAATTATGTGAGCACTTCTATGAGAAGTCTTTATGGTAAATACAGTATGAAAATCTTTTTACAGTGTTCTTGGTAGTTTTGCTGCCAGAGAGGTAAGCAATAGCATTGTTCAAACACAAGATAACACAATGAAAACAAAGTTCTATTTCCTTTTCTTTTCTATGACCCAGGATCCTGCTTTCCTGAGAAGCTGACAATGCGGTAAGCATTGAATCACATACAGATTCTTCACTAATCTCTCCTGATCCTTACTGACACACACAGGAGTGACAGTCCAGATACATTGTATTGGTCAAAGTTTCATTCACTGTGATGCTGAGGAAGTAAATGGATACATTTATGCAAGAAAGAGATTTAGTGGCTTTTATTATTATTGTTATGACAGCAAAAAATGACACTATTCCAAACAGCTGGGCCCATTATACTTTTGATTTTTTTTTTTTTTTTCATTAACTCATGACTTTAAATGTATTTCATAATTTATTTGTAGTGGAAAAAAGAATGTATAAATAGAAACCACAGGAGAGTCATAATTCAGGTCACAGTTGTGAAGCTCACCAGCTAATCTGAAAATGCAAATGTGCTGAAATTTCTTAATATCTTCTCAAAATTGTGTTATATTACTTATGATCCCATGCTCAATCTAGTAAAAGGAAGCTTTTTATGCGACAAAAAATATTTTCAGCATTGTCATCAACTTCCTTGTTTGCTTTATACCTATAGCTCAGAATTTGTAAATTAACAGCCAAATCAGGTTTTTACCCATCTGCTTTCTTTCCACAGTAACTGATTAATAGATAATATATGCTCCTCTACAGGAGTGGCTAAATAATGTAATGTATCATCAATGGAGTACATTCCATGCTTTCTCTTTCTGCCAACTACTTTGTCATACTGTGACAGATTATTCAAGTAAGTGAAACAGTAGGAAAATAAATGAAATTTTGTCTCTTTTCATTCCCAGAACTATGCTGAAATTTCCTACTCCTGTTAATGATTATAGTGGACAAAACTGGGAAAAAAGGTTCCTGCAATTGAGAGATTGAGAAGACAAGGAGGCAGAGTTCAGGTGCTGGTCACACCCTAAATGGGTGACTTTAGCTCATTTCCCACATTTTACAGTGACTGTAAAAAATGTTGGCTCTCTTTAGTCTTGGATGTGTTTTAACTGTTTCACCTGCAAGCTTTCTGGGGCAGAGTCTGCTGCTGATTATGTTTTTCCAGTATTCATGAAACTCAGCAATGACATATCTTGAGACTTAACAAAACTCCAGGTAATAAATAGTTACCTTATTAATGTCTATACCTAAAGGGATAATTCAATGAAAACAGCGAGGCACTCTTCAGTGATGCCTAGTGCCAATTCATGAGGCCTCAGGCACAAACTGGAACACAGGAGACCACCCACTGACTTCTGTGCTGTGTGTGTGACAGAGCACTGGCACAAGCTGTGGAGTTTTGAAGATCTCCTTGGAGATCTTCAAAAGCCAACTGGACATAAGCCTGGGCAACCTGCTCTGGGTGTTCCTGCTGGAGCAAGGGTTGGGCCAGACGAGCTGCAGAGGACTCTTCTCACTCCATCCATGATTTGATTTTCTGATCTTTTTCCATATAACAATTAAGTTCTGCTAAAGACCGCTTTCCTGAGCACTCAGTACTCTAATTGTACATTTGGAAATCACCAGAATGCTAGAAGAAAATCCAATAATATAATGTAAAACCTGAGTCAAGTGATTAAAAGGCTATTAGAGACATTCTAAACACTTGGAAGACTCTCTGCATCCATTGGTGGAACTGTTTTCCCATCAGTCTCACCTTTCAAAATATTCTGTTCTTCTTATGATACTACATGTGCACTTCTTTGACAGCTTTTGCAGTTCAGCTGAAAAAGTCACTGCTGTGAGAAAATACTGCACGTGGTGAAGGTACTTGGAGGAATGTAGATCTTTTTTTCTCACACAAATAACCTTCATAGTTTTAATTATGATATTAGTAGGATTATTTATGCAAGAGAGAAGCAAGGTTGGCATATGAACTTAAGAACTGCGCTCACATTGTAAAAGGGCAATAAAAAAGACATTCAAGATTTCTCATTATGTCTATATTGTAATTGAGAAAAGAGACAGTAAATTGAACAAGTAGCTTTTAAAAGGGGCTGCCAGCAGCTAACAGGACCTTATGCGAAGAGATCCCACACATAACCTCATTGAATAACTGTTTCAAAAGAAGGTACTGGAAATAAGTAGAGTCCGTACAGAATGCCAAACGTACTTTCCACAAGCTGAAAACATCTGAGAGGTCAGGAAGTAAGAAGATAAAGTTTGATCTACCGAGAACCCAACTGAGTTAGATCTCACAAAGGATATGAAAACAAATATTAAAAGGCTCTCGGTCAGTTAAATAAAAAAGACAAGGAAAAATGCTGTGCCACTATGGAGGAAAGATGGAGCAGACACTAAACACAAGATAAGGAAAGGCTCTGAATAAGTATTTCTCCATATTTTTTCAATAAAAATAATTAAGTTGGATTTAAAGACAAAAACAAGGTGAATAGATATGGGTATGTAAATAGAAATCACCACAGCTAACAAAGAAACGTAATTTGAAAAGTAAAATGCACCAAGCTTGCAGTGTGGTTAAACTTCTGCCCAGAAAGGCTGTGGATGCCCCATCCCTGAAAATGTTCAAGGCCAGGTTGGATGGGGCCCTGGACAGCCTGTTCTAGTATTAAATGAGGAGGTTGGCAGCCCTGCCTGCAGCAGGGGGCCTGGAGCTTCATGATTCTTGAGGTCCCTTTCAACACAAGCCATTCTGTGATTCTATGATCATTGTCCATGAGTTCTAAAAAATTCTGACACAGGTAGTGCTGATCCAGTGGCATATATCTTTAATGGCATCATCACATTGGAAGTGAAACTGAAAAACAGTAAAGATAGTTTCTTTACATTAAAAGAGAAATTGCAAGAAAAATAAGAGAAGGCAGCAGACAGAACACGACAACTTATTACATTTGACCTCAGCAGTATGCAAGGCTTAAAACATATTTTCAGAGAATCATAGAATGGCTTGCAGGGAACCTTAACAGTCCTCCAGATTCATCTCCTTTGTAGTGGGCAGGGCTGTCATCCATTAGATCTGACACAGTTAGACACTACCAAAGAATCTAAAGAGTAAGGAAGAGACTTACTCAGTGATTATAAAACAGCTAAAAGAGAAGAAATAACAAGTAAGTGCTATTAAAAAAGGGATACATCAAACAAAATACATGAAGGTCTGGCAGTGAGGATCTTCAGGATTCATCCTGGGGCTCCTCCGCTGTCCTTTTACAGATGTCAATCTTTGAGATCCAGGAGCTCTTCTACCTGGGTACTCTTGTACTTTCAGTGCAGGAGAGTAGTGACACTACACAAATAAAACAACTTGAAGAAGAGAGCCATAGAAATGGGGCAATCAATCAGGAGGGCTGTATGCAGAAAGTTCAATTGCAAGTGAGGAGATGACCAGGCAGAACTAAATGAGGATGATTAAATGGGTAACATGATGCTCTTGTGACAAAGACATGTAGGACTTTTAGGCACGAGGAGGGAGACTTTCAATAGAACCTAGGAGACATTACTGATAATGTCCGAAGTGTGGTCATGCCACACCTGGCATCCTACACACATTCAAGAAAGATGATCTCAGATGGAGAACAATGCAGAGGAGAGCTTCTAAAATGAGTGACTGAATGGTGATACTCCATCCAAAGATGCTAACAGAGCCAAGTTTTTTAGTCTATAGTTGTCCAGCGATACAAATGCAAAGGAAATGGAAAAGAAATGGTTTGAGGAGGATAAATACATCTGGGAAAAGTGCAATTGAATATAAAGAGTAGAGATAGCATGGGAAAGAAAAATAGCACTATACAAGCCATAAATTCATTTAGGCCGTAAAGAAGGTGCCTGGCAATATGGCTGTGAGTTTCTCCAACAGTCTTCAAGCTTGAAGAGTTAGAGCAAAACTACAGCCTTCAATCTGGAGCTTGATATTTAGTTGGAAATACCACATGTTATGACAATGACACCCTTTATAACTGTCTAGATGCATTGTCTGTATCCACAAGTCACAAAATGTCCCTTAGCTCTTCCAAAGATAATGTCATGGCAATATGTTTACTGCCTTGAGGTGCTGCTGGTGTCATTTTGACATATCTAACAACATTTACTATATTCCATTTTCACGTACTGTCTTCATTAAGAAATCCATGTAAAACTAATTACACAGACAAAGGCTTTTGCAATAATACAGCCTAAGTTGTAAGTGAAAATAAATAAATAGAAGAACGCTGGGCCCAAGACTATTTGAGTAGCTAGAGCTCACACAAATTTAATCAACAGGAGTTTTAATGAAGAATAATTAAGCCTTTTGTGAAATAATCCAGGGCAAATTGTGGAATTATTTTAAATTTTTTATTAGATGCTTTAACAGTTCCTCAGATGGCATTTCAGTGCTCTAAAGCAGAGAAAATTAAAAGTAGTATGTTGCCATACTTCTAGCTCTTATGGAGAAATGCAGCCATTCTGAAGACAGGGAATATATGGTACTTGGTAAGAACAGAGAGAATCTAGCTCAAAAAATT